ACATAATACGTCTTCTACAGTTATTTTGTTACCGAGTAAGTGATTGCACCCCATTAACTTGGTCCAGGGATCAATCAGCAGTAGCCACATTTACCCACAACTTGAGAGCAGAGTATGGAAGCCATTGATCAGAACCTTGAACTGGGAGTACCCGATGATCGTTTACTAGTAACCTTGAAAGCAACCTAAATGTGTTAGCCGGCACCACCCACGCCAGTGAGTACCCCGATACTCCCAGCAGTTGTCAGATGTTTTCTAGAAGTGAATTATAGCCTCCTCGTGTTCTGAGAGTTGCATACGCTGTAGCCGCTCGATTTTACTACTGCCCATGATTGAAGTGATCATAAATTACCCGCGTTCAGAGGTGTGATTATCAAAAAATGACAGGAAGGGCTTATTTACGAGACTGACTTAATCACATATCTCCAGCATCCCTACGACAGGCTTCAGATGGCAATAATCTCTAACAAACCCGGTTCTATACGAATGCTGAAGACTATCTGGCACGATCTACATCTCACTGGGTAGAACGTCTGACGGTCCCGAACATCCCCGTTGCACGTCTTCCAGAGTCCTTGAAACATCTGCCAACTAAGAAAAAAGCGCCAAGTCTGAAGCTACTGCCTTTGTGCTGGACAACAGTCCTTAGTGGGTGCTGTGCATGCAGAACCCACCTATTTTTGCCCTCAGACGGCTTGCCACTTTAACGAAAAAAAACTTTTCGCATGGATACTTCACACTCATTTTTCATTTATGAATCAATTGCAAAGTACTCTTTCCCATTCATGATGCCCCCTAAAAGGCCTGCAACTACCGCTGTGGTGTCTTAGCCTTATTTATGACAAGGATTGGCAAGGGGCAATTCATCTGGTGCCCTTCAGTCCACTCCATTGCCCCGAGAGGCAGCAATTTCGGCTCTCAGCGTACATTCAGAGTCAAAACCACTAATTAAGGGCTACGATGCAATTATCGAATTAAGACGAAACGATTTCTGGCTAGCAGCGGTAGTACCAGCATTAGGTTAACGAAAGGGCATCGTTGGAGCTTAGTATGAGTAGTAATTTGTGAAATAAATTCGTCAAAGCCAACAAATGGGCTTGAAAGCTTCCCGAATTAATGACGGACATAAATGAGTGGTTGTCAGGATGAAAAATAGATTCGAAAAAAACGAAAAACTGAGAATAGTGGCGATTGGTGGATGCCAATTCCGAAAATCCGAAGTGGGCCAACTGACTGTATGAGAACTGAAGAGAAAAGCTGGAGAGACAAAGGAATCAAGGGGAAAAAGGCCTCAAAAAATTGATAGTTACGGGTGAAACTTTGAATATTCTTTAAGTTCTTTAAGTAAGCCCTTTCACTCACTAAATGGACCTGCTAACGAGTGGAAGGCTGCTAGAAAACATTCGATTTGCTTGCTTCACGGATCTCCCCCAGATTTTTTACTGAAAATCCATCAAATTACCATAAATACAGTTGTTTTTGATAGCAAAATTCGGACAGAAATTAGTCCGGTGTGATGGATAGAAGGCTGAAGAAACCCAGGTATTAGGAATTGCCCACACCAGGCATAGGTACAATATTCGTAATTCAGAGCGCCAAATTTTATCTTTTATTTTGAGAAAGGACCATTTTTGAGCGATACCCATACTTGAGTTCTGCGATAAATAGTAGGAAAAGAATGATCAGAGGCGAAATAGATAATCAGAGATCGGAATCCGGAAATCGGAACAAGAAATATCACTCAACCTTGAGTATTTATTCCCAACCAATTCAACCTGTATATCCTAGACAGATTTAGCTGATACGGCAGGCTTCTCAGATCCCACGGGGAAAAAATTCCGAAAAAGAAGAAAGCGCAATATAAGAAGGTAATACGGGAAGCATTAAGAAAGGCGAATATGAGAGGAAGCCGTTGGCCATTGGAAGGCGAAAAAAGTTGCGAAAAAAGTAGATGACAGATCGAATGGGAAAAACAACGAGCAAACGGAGCGTAGAATCAATGGTTTCGGCAACGATGAGGTTCCATCAGGGAAATTTGAAAAATTCATGAGGATTTACGTAAGTTATCCAAGTAAAGGATGATATTGAAACAAAAAGTATAAAGAACGAAAGTAGCTGAATGGCTGCAGAGGGAAGGTATCCGATTATCTCTGCTGCAATTATAACACCTCGAATTTCACGACATCTGATACCCCTCCGTCTGCAGACCTCGAACGGCTGGACTGATAGCTTAGCCTTGGGAACGAAGGGCTTTGTTCAGACAAAATGAACTTCCCGTTCAATGAGACGGTCTTAATTTTTATAAAAAGCGACCAAAGTTATAAGTGCTCGTTTCCAGGATGAACAATAACTAGCCATAAGCCTATTTTGGATTAATCAAATAAAGAAAACCCATATGACACTTGGATCCCGCAATGTGAGAGGAAAATTATGAGGCCAAAGCTAAGAAGCTCCATAGAAGTGGCGTTCTAAATTGCCATAACGAATTCCTTCAAACCATAATTAGAATACATGATCGTGTTGATAAGCTTTACCAGTAAAAGGAAGATGTTACTTACCAGCCCCTGAACTTGAACTGGTAGAATTTTAGACAACTGAGAAGGTGAGCCCTCCTCCCCTCTCTCCCGGTGAAGGTGTTGGTTCTTCGGTGCCAGTCTAATCCACCTTCCAACTCCCTTCTATCCATCTGAACTAAGACCATCAGAAGGTTTTTCTTCTACAACATTTCACATATTCGGTCCGAAATACGGACGAGGCCAAGTGGTGAACTACGACTACAATAACTACCTCGTTAACTGTGTTTTGCATATCTCCTGGGAATTACTGCCAAAAATAAAGCTCGGAATTACAGCGTTTATCGCAAGAAGTTAAACGTTCTAAATGTATTGGCATGATTGATGGTAGGTGCTCAGACCTCGTCGACAATAATGACCACCCAGGGTGATTGGGAATAACGGCTCAGTACTGGAAAAAAGTTACAGAGCCCTTCGAACGCTTATCCCAGTCATTACTCAAGCATCTTAGAAATAGATGATGGGTAAAGCAGCTCTGGTCTTTTGGGAGTGATATTGACCTGTGGAGTGACGCTGACATCGGCTGGCCGTTATAACGTTGCCATTACGCCATGCACATAGTGCGTTGACAAACAAATCATGTGTTGGACTTGTCAATACGGGAAATATCTCAGGAAAATTGTAATTCTGGCCAGTCTACCACGTAGTAACCAGTTAGTACTCGTCGTAGTAAGTAGTACGACACGTATTGACAAGATATTTGCGTCATGGGCCGCTAACTATATACGTCCAGACTTTATTGGATAAAAATTCTTCGGCGACCGGCGGATGTCAAGTCTTTGATGACAGACTTTGCAGACTTTCGCTGAGAGCTCTTCTGCAGGAGTTTCATGCCAAAAACTTCCATCGAAATGGAGTTATTCGATATTTCAGATTTAAGAAGGGAAATAGTTTTTTTCTATACAAAAGAGGTATGTGAAGTCAAAAGTCAAAGTTCAGCTTCAGTTACGAAATGAATATAGTTCCGACAAAAACATGCATCGTTTTTTTATTGATAGAAAGCCCCTGTGATTACGGTAGTCATAGAGTTTAGTCATTTTCTAGTATTCAGGACTTCTTTCAAGCAAAGACAAGCTTTTGCGANGAGGAGAGAAAAAAGGATGAGAAGAGAAGGTAAGGAAAATTGACATAAAATTCGAACCTTATCACCTAGTCAGCCCATGGTACTGTAATGAATTCAAAACTCAAAAGGTGGTTTCCCAGAGCACTACCCTCGTTACCTAAGCTGCCTTGGATTAAAATGAGTTGGGAGCATTCTACATTCATTTTCTACCAAAATTTTCCGAGATTAAAACGTCTAGAACTACTTGTGGTATGACACCTTTTCGTAGCTTTCATTTCTCCAATTCAAATATGCTAGTGTTAAATTGCATTCGGAATGAAGAAAAAACTCACCATCAATCAGCTTTGGGCTGTTCGCAGTCGTTGAATGGAGTAAACATACAAAAAAGCATAGAAGACGTGTAAGTGCGCCCGACGAGGACATGATCCTGGCCTGAACTGAAAGCGCCGCCCTCTCGTACGGACGGACGGCTGGTTGACTGGCCGGCTGCCTGCTGGCCCAGCCGTGCACAACGCAACACTCCGCCCCCACCTGACAGCACTAGCAAGTGCTTTTGCGCCCTGCACGATGCACGTGGTGTTCGCACTCTCGAAATGTTGCCAAGGTTCAAAGATGATCACTGGATGAAGTACCACAGCGGATGTTTGAGTGGAAATCAGTGAACGATTCCTGAAAGTTGGTTATCGAAACTACCAAATTTGGGCTACAAATCAATTTCAGCCTAGATTATGGGCTTTAAAAACGCTTTTTGTATAGTCAGTGAAGAAAAGGACTTTGTTTTCAAATTTGATTGAAAGTCAAAGAGCAAAGATCAGAATCGCATTGGAGTGGAGATATAATAGCTTAGGGGCTAGTGGTAGTGTGTTGCTTACACTTCAAAGTATCGGACTTTTCCATCAAGCAGATTGAGTTTCATGGCGTGAATTTTATCTTCAATTACCGAGCGCAGCTCCATTCTACTGGATGCCAAGGAATCTGAGCCTAAAAGGTTTCCGGGAGTGACCTATCAACCTTTGCAGCCAAATATGACGCTCACAGTCGCTGACTTTCCTCAGGAGGACAAGACGGAAAAGAAAGTTTTGGGGCAAAGCACAAAGGAGGGAGAAAATAAAAACAATTGCCTGAAACGGGTAGAGTAGGACACTTCCTAACATTCACTGCAACCGGCTTAGCAGCGTTGGAGTTCTTCAAAAGATAATTTTTATATCGCATGATATTTTTCTAGCCCTAGGCTCCACTTCATTTTCTTATTCATAACTTTTACTGGATGTTGGACTTGGACACGTATGTCCCTCAGATCCTTGTCAGTTGTCACAGGACAGTTGACACAGTTGACTACCAGTAACTCGAAGAACTTCTTTCAATGATAGATCCACGCGTCTTATGTAGCTTATAACTAGGCAATGTTGATGGAATTTGATAACAACATATATCAATTTCCCAACGTATCGACTTTGATTTCTGGAGTCAGTTGAGTATCTGGAAAATGTCCAACTTAAAACGCGGCACCAGCACTAAAATTCACCTTCCCTATGAACTACTGCAAGTTCATCACCCAGAAAGTATACTCAAGAGACAACTCTAACCCGGCCCAGCACGTAAGCCATAATGATACCGTTTGACTCAGCTAACCACAATACCTCGCTGATATCATACTGCGCTACCGGGGAGGACAAGACAGTGGCTCAAAGGAAGCGACCAAATTAGCGCTAGGGTGAAGGCCACTGCGCCTCCTAAGAGGGGGGCCATCGTTTCAATCGGATGATTTCTCTAAGGCGACATTAACCACCAATAGAATTTTAAATCCATCAAATGTCGCACGTCTAAAGACCGAAGAGGAAAACGATCACTAGGATTGGCATCAAGATCTTTTCAAATCGAAGTGAAATTCAGATAGTATTAGCGGTGTTACATCTGCAACAACGGCATGATACTTGGACGGAGCTATCATTCATAATCGCTCAGTATCATGTGTGATGACATGAAAAATTGTAGAAAATCTTTGCGCTAATAGCACCAAGAACTACTGTCAGATGCATGGCGGGATGTCAGCTTCAGTGTGGTGCCGGCTGGCGGTCAGTTCGTCCTTCCCCATGTTTATTCTGATTAAGCTCAATCCGCTGCCAATGACAGCTATATGATTAAGAAATAAACAATAGTGGAGCAGACAAGCGAAAGATTGGACGATGACAAGCAGAGGCTTCTAGACTTATCCATGAAAAAATGCATTGGAATTTAAGCTTAAGCGAAACGGCGACCGCAAAAAACGACTGCAAAGTATGATGCCCTTTGATACAGTTGGCAGTGTATGTCACGGCAATGTACCGCGCAAAACTCATGAGAACAAGAGCATCAGTTTTCGACTTGTCAATAAACTTACGAGCGACAGTTGAATAAAACGAAATGATGGCAACTTTTGGGGTTAATTCTTGGTTTTGCCACCCATAAGTGATCGATAAGGAACAGGAGCACTTTTCACTGTACAGTTCCAATTAACAGCTTTAGAATTTGGAAAAAAAATCGAGATGAACTCAGTATATGGAGACAATTCGAACCAGAGAACAGAGAATAACTCCAACTGGCAACTGCTACTCTGCGGGCTTGAGGGAGGTCCCTTTTACAGTTGTTGTATGCCTACTTAATCCAAGTTTCCTCGGAAGAGGCCAGCCTAGACCTAGCCAACTGCACCCTCCTTAAGTTTCTCAGGCACAGCCTATCATGAGTGGAAGCGGGCCTCAAACTGAATAAGAAAAGACGGTGCTGTAGTACAAAAAGAAGAACGGTGTTCAGTGAGCCTATGAATTCTAAATGACAAAGACGATGATGACAAAGATGATGATGGCAGATGACAAAGATGAAATGACAAGGGGACAAGCGATAAAAAAAAGTGGAACACGAGGTGTATGAGCAGCGAATGCATTCACTGAAATGGCAATTCAGAAAGGCAGCCGTTATTGATCGAAACGATTGGAGGATCGACCATAGGTCAGTCTAGATTAACTACAACCCTACTAGTACAACTTCAAGCATAACCTTGAACCTAAAGAACTTATGGCAGCAATTATCAAGCCCTCTTCATTTCCTAAGACAAATTTCACGCCAGTAAAATGGGGGAATGTTGACGTTTTGTAGTTAAGTGAGCGTAAAGACCGAAGCATGTTCTTGAGCTAAAAACCCTGGTACTCATGACGTTACACTTCTAATGTGTAATAGTAGTACTCGCTGTGAAAAAGAGTTCATTTCAGTCTTGATGCTACTTCTTTTTCCCACAGCTAATAGTACGCAGGCCATTGGATTTGTGAGGATTGTGCTAATCTGAGCTGACGCCTCCAGCGTCATTGGTGTGGGAAGGGGGCATGCCTAAAAGGGCCTAAAATCGAGGGGGTTTCACAGTTGTGCGAACGCCAGGAATTCCTTACGTATCCGATTACATGGTTTGACGAGCACATCGTGACACGAGCATTGAACAACATTACTTGGCATTGCAGACGTGAATGTGTCAGACTCGATCGAACTAGTAGGAAGATGAAACGAGTAAAAAGAGGGAGAATATGCGCCATACAGCAGGTTTTTGTCCAGAGTTCCATAGATGGATGGATGTATATCTGGTCTAAACAAAGGTATACGGCATGTGGCCGTTAATTCAGTCACAGTTTTACGCTCTTATGTTAGTGTACTGCTAGAAAACTTGGGTAGATTTATCGGTGGCTTCAATCTCATCAAAAATAAGGAAGTCATAGTACTTCCTGACCACTACATGCCATGTATTAGCCCGGAATGGGACTCGAATACCTTTCCTCGAAGGTAGTATCCTCAGAACCCTTCATGCCCCAATATTACAAAACCTTAATACGCCGATACTGTCAGTTCAGGGAATCAGAGGTGAAATGAGACTTAAATCAACCTTTAAAAAGTTTTTAATGAGACTGACAGTTTGTGGTCCTTGAAAACAAAGCCGGTGGTATGAAATCTGTCGAAGTGTGGAGGAGCCTGATCCTCACTTTACGCGCGGTGATTCTTAGCTACCTGTTCTGCAAAGCAGAACTTTCTGGTTAGTTATAATTCAGATGCTTTAACACGAGAATCGCCGTTGGGAGCTCACACTGGCAATCCTCAGTGCTCCGCTATCTACGAATGTTCAAATATGTATCGTTCAAAAAGGTCTGAAGCTCCGCCTCAACGAGGTCAAAATAAGTTGCCCTGGGAAAGATCGGTAGTCTGAGCAGGTTGAAATCTTCGAGAGCGGAAGTAAAAAGTGATAATGAAACCTTGAAGAAAGTATTAGAGCAATTCTTAGGTTTTTTTAGCTCTGACCGAGCGAGGCCAAGGTGATAGTTATCATTTGTGACAGAACATCACCTTTTGAAAACGAATATGATCGGTATTTTTTTAAAATTCCAGTGGTTCACAGGCTAGATAGATACATCTTGATATATTGCCTATGAATTACATCCAAGGAGGGAAAAACATTAACAAAATGTAAGAATAAATTCTTGATGCAATAACTCCCACATTACTTATCGAAGTTATCTGCCGATAGCAGAACCAAATGAAAAACCGTCTGAAATTATGAATAGGAAGAGTCTTCAATGTTTCCTAATTGCACTCAAATGGGTGGTTGAAAATGGACGAGAGCTCGGAAAATGAACAAACGAAGTTAAGAAAAAACCATAGCAGCGGAACCAATTAGTTCGTATTTGAGAGCTTTATGGAAACAACGAAGAGGGAATATTCACATTGGAGGATGAATGGAATTGCAAGACCAGATAGCATGCCTTAGAAAAAAGAAAAGGATTAGTACAGATGAATCGGAACGCCGAAGCGAACTTGATGGCAAGCCTTTTCACCTCCAAATCTTCCAAGAGAGTAGAAGGTATGGATTTGGCTACCTAGCAGAAAGAAGTTCGCGTTTTATGATCACCAGTTATCATTAGGTATTTCTTAGAGGTGTATGAATACTTGGTACTAGTTTATGAATGAGAAATGGTAATCCTATGGAATACTGAATCTGAATGATAAAGGGAAGTACAAACTACTTAGTAGGCAGATTTCTTTTACTGTCCACAGATGGTGTAACGTAAAATCAGGCGCAGCGCTTCCTATTTAAATCAACACCTACTAGTATTTTCTACTGCCCGATGGTCTCATATAAGTCAACTGACCCAAAAAGTTGTCTGACCTCGTTGTACCTTTCTGAGTTATAAAACATATAATATCTATCAGGTAGGATGAAAATACTAAGGACTCGTCCGTCCGGAAAGATGTAGCACTCAAGGACTAGTAGAAAGCTATTTAACAAGAGCAAAATGATAACTGAATAAAACCAGCTGAACACAAATTTAAAAAATGACAATCCTAAACGGAAAAAGGCAATGCAATAAAGACAGTTGCCTTCTTTGAGCGAAAAATGAGAGAGATTGGAA